TAATAATAATTATATATGTAATCCATATACCAATTCTAAGTTCCTTTTTTAAACCATATTTTTTAGTTTAGTTGCATCTCACACGTAAGTTATATGATTAATTTCCTTTTCGCGTTATTTTTATTTAAATCATTAGCTTTTTGTTTATTTTAACACTGTGCATAACCGCAGACATGGAACACTAAAATCGAATCATTTATGTAGGCATTATATCACATCGAAAACACCACAAAAACAGTGTAAACTGTACTATGAAGCAAAAAAAATAACAATAAATTTTAAAAACGTCGATTTGTTACTGATGCTGCTGATGTTGCTGTTGCTTATTATTATTGACGAAGTGATTTTTCCTGTATTTATATTATTTTTTTGATAAAAATATTAGCATAATAGGGTGGTCCACTATTCTACAGCCATACATCCAGGAGTACAGAACAAAAATTTGGAAAGTTCATATTATGTACTGAGTGTGAGCTCATGTTGTGTATGACGAGATATAACAAGCTTTATTAATTATTTGCTATTATGTGTTTCAAGGACGAGCATAACAATTAATATATTTTTTCTCTTTCACTCGTTATTTATTAATATGTTTGTTTTAATTTCGACCACCCCTACCGCCTCGGCCGCGGTTATTTTCACCTCGTTCCTGCAAACAAAAACCACATTTAAATCTGTACCTAAAAAAACTCACGTTTTAATATGGATAATAACAAGGATTGTTTGAAGAAGTGCTTTTAAAACACTTACTTTGATAAATCTCGAAATTATACTATAATGCTCCTCCTTTGAGAGCTTTATCGATGATTCCCTTTTAAAGTCTTCGTTGCATCGTGTTGGTTAATTATAAAAATTTAGAATGTCCAGACAAATATACAAACACAAAAGAAAACTCATACAAACATGAATCATGAAACAATTTTATTGTTGTTAGAACAATTTTTTAAGATAACTACCTTGTGATGTCCGCCGCTTCCTCCTCCCCCGTGGTGATCGTTACCTCCTCGATGACCTCCACCTCCGGGTCGATGGTTCTCCCTCTCACCATCACGATCCCTGTCATGGTTTCGCCTATGATCACCCCTATCTTTATGTTCACCCCGCCCATCTCGTCCACCACCGCCACCGCTTCCCCCTTGCGGTCCTGTTTCTGGATTCTTTCTATTATCCTCCTCCTCTTGCCGTTTCTCATAGTGTATAAAATCGTCAAATATCGACGTTGAATGCCTGTACGAATACATAATTCGCAGTACCTGCAAACCCTTCGCGTGCGGCACTTCCTGCGTGTCGCGCGAGTTCGTCACCGGCTTATTCTCGTTGTTTTCGAGCCGAATATGACGCAGCTGCACGTTCGGCACGTCCTTCACATAGATCCATCGGACCTTGAACTGTCCTTTCCACTTATCTTGTGACCAAACCGAGCTGTTCGCGTTGTAATCGACTGCCGACATCATCTGTGCCATTCCACAGAAATGACCGGAACCGTTCACGGAGAAAAAAAGATAAACAGGACCTTTGCCTTCGCGTTCTCGGTACGCCTGATCAAGACGCTTGTTACCGTGCTCGGTACTGCACCAGATCTCGTACTTGATGCTACGATGGATATCATCTTCTGAATATGATTTGATGACAAAGAAGCGGGCGTTCGGCACGTCAAGATCAAAATCCACAGGGTTATAGTTATTTTTGCCCCGTAGCTCCTCGAGAACCGGATGTGAAGGTACCACGGCAGCCGCTGTTGCTGCGGCAGGCTGAGGTACCATCATGGGAACTGGGCCGCCAGGAGGCATCATGCCTAAATCCGCAACAACTATATTTTAATTGTATTCCTTATAATTAACAATTCGTTGTATATNGTAAACCGCGGTGTTTGCGCATCACGTTACGCATAGATTTGAATCATTTCGTTGCTAATAGATGGCTTCCATAAAAGGTGGTAAAATTGAATTTTTTGCCGTTATCCTTTTATTCCAATCGTCACTTCTACTCAGAATGTTACAAACATCATTTTAATTTCTAAATCCGCAACAACTATATTTTAATTGTATTCCTTATAATTAACAATTCGTTGTATATATTATTTTGGAAAAGTAATACATTAGTTTTCAATTGTTTGCTTCGTAATTAAATTAATGTTAACATACTTAAAAATATAAAACCTAAAATTTAACAATAACCATCTTTTTCTTAAAATTCAGAATTAAATGAAGTGTTTACAAACCTTGGACATGAGCTCCAGCGGGCACGGTAACAGGCGGCGGAGGCAAATGAGGTGGCATCATGGCCTGCTGATAGGACTGCAATGGTGGGCCAGGCCGGGGCGCCTGGGGCGGAGGTCGATTAGTTGGCGGTCCGTTCCATGCGGGCCGAACAACACTGGGCACAGTTTGCGCAATCGACTTCGGTAACGTAACGACCGGCAATTGTGGAGGCGTGTTCTTACTTGTGTCCCATGTACCGATGTCGATGTTATGCTTTCCCGGTACAATAGGACCAGGCGGCATACCGGGTCCTTTTTTCTTCAGACCCTGGTTTTGGGCTGTCAACTGTGGCTTGGCCGGCTGGCTGGCTATACTAGCCCACGTCGTCTTTTTAGGAACCGATGACTCTTTCGACGTGTCCGACGAGCCTTTTAAGTCTATATATTTGTTAAGAAAAAATTTCAGGAAATCAGTACGATTTTTAACCTTAACTGAGGATTATTGAAACTGCACACTAACCCAAATTTTGCATAGCCTGTTCGACACTTTTCAGGGTTGATTCGGGCATGGCCTGTGTAGTGTACATATTTTGAGGATCTCGATAATATTCGTCGTACTTGCGTTGTCCTAGCTGGCTGCCCCATGTGCTGTAATCGCCGTTGCTGTGAAAGTAGTTGAAGGAAGAAGGTTGGCCGAAAGCTGCTGCGGCCGCCGCAGTGGGCGTCGAGAACGTTGTCGACGGCCCAAACATGCCTGAGTGATAAACTTCAATGATTTTATTACGGAAATGTCGACTATGAACCGACTTACCATCCATACTGTAAGAGTCGTGTGGATAACCACTCAGGAACGTCATAGGATCTGTGCCGTTTGACCACGTGCCATCTCCCACACCGAAAGCTTGATACGGATACGTGCCGCCACTTCCGTAATAACCTGGAGAATAACGAGAAAAAATTAATATATTATACATTATTATGATGAATTGACTATATTAATAAGAAAAGGAAATCTATATCTAGAAATAAGTCTTTAATAACGCCAAAGTTAATTTATAAATTTGAAAAAAAGCAAGAATTTGCCGCCATCAGTTTCAATTTTTAAGTAGGAATTCATTTATAGTTCATAGTACCCAACTGCCTACAGACTATATCCACTGCAGTGCATATACATATATGTACACAAATGTAAATACTTATTATCTGTACAGTAGTTTTTAAGGCAGATATTCTTAATTAACCTTCTTTTAAACATTTATTTCTCTATTAAAATAGTTTTCCAAATTTAAATTTTTTAAAAATTGACTTTCAGATCTTTAAATGCATTAATTAGATAATTGCTGTTTATTTGCCTCTTAAAAAATCATCAGTTATAATTAATTCATGATATTTTAATTATCTTTACTATTCAACTCACTCAGTAAGAACATTTGTCAGTGAAAGTACCAATTAGTAACTCTATGATAAATAACATAATTACCCAATTATCTATGTACTAAACGGCACAAGTTTTTAATATTTAAATGATATTTTGAAAATCGCAGAATCTGAGAATTATAATTATGTTACAAAAGACTTCTTTAGCTTTCTAAATTTATTATATGTTCTCATAACATTAAATATTTTCTTGTGCGTAAAAATGCTAATAATTTTTATGTGAATATTCAAAAATTATTATGATCTACATTTTTTGTTGTTAAAAATAATGAACACATACAATATTACATGGGTATCTAAGGACTATTAGATAAAAAATAAAACAGACCTGTACTCATACTGTAAATATCTGTTGCACTTGAAATTGGTACTGACGCTCCATAAGCAGCAGGGGCTGAGTTTGTCTGTTGTTGCTGTTGCGATCTCCATGGTTCAAATTCTTCAGAGCCAGTTGCTCCTTCACCTGCTCCTAACTGCTCCTTAGCGCCATTAGACACTATACACCACATAACAAGTTACAAAAAGGAATTTCAATGAAGTAGACAGTTTTCAATCAGCACTTGTGGCCACTATCAGGTTTAGGGATACATAATCAGAAAGGCAACAATGATTCCATTTATAAATAAACTAAATTTAATACGGCGATTAGATAAGAGGAATAAGAAGTTATTGTTATGCTTCTCCTGACACAAAGATAAGAAACAACCTGAAGAAAATTTCCATAGGAAAGGACACAATACAAACCTTGATTTCCTTGTCCTTTCATCCGCTGCAGTGTCATCAGCACATGAAATAAAAGAAAAATCCGTGCGTAAGAAAAACACAAATAAAAAGAACCTGAGATTTTAATGTGAAATTAAAAAATAAAATAATCAGAAGATGTGTTGATTGTACCTGATCTGACACGCCTGCTGACATTGACCAGTCTTTTCACTTGTTTTTCACACTACAAAGTCACCTGTCACAAACCGCACAAGTGCACTTTACACACACTAGTTTTTAAACACTAAAATCACTTCAAAAGTTGTAATAAATTAGCTGTTTTTAAAGTAACTTTAGAAAAGTCAATCGTCCTGCAATGGCGAACAGTAAACCGCGGTGTTTGCGCATCACGTTACGCATAGATTTGAATCATTTCGTTGCTAATAGATGGCTTCCATAAAAGGTGGTAAAATTGAATTTTTTGCCGTTATCCTTTTATTCCAATCGTCACTTCTACTCAGAATGTTACAAACATCATTTTAATTTTGAAAATGATAAAAATTAATTACTGCTAAATGACTTAGAAGTTAAACTTAAAGGAAAATTAAAACCCAAAATTCCACATTAGTTTTTGGTGTTTTAAACAAGTTGTTAAGAAAATACAAAAAGTAGTTCAATTGTCTATTTAAGTCTTCTCTTAAAGATCGAACAAAAAACAGTTAATAACCAATATCACAAGACAACACTTATTTATTTTCATAGTTCCTCTATATATAGATATATTATCAAAGCTTATCACTACTTGTATATTAGTTTTTACTTCACTTTTGAGCTTTGCAACAGATTAAAATTACCATATTCTAAGTATTTATGACTTAAGAAAGGAATGTAAAACGCTCTAAAAAAGGGGTGCGAACTTTCCACCTTCAAGAATGGCAAAGTTTTGACAATTTTCCATTTTTCGGTCTGTTTAGCATAATTAGGCTCCAAGTTGGATTCTTTTCCCTGATCCAAATCCAACAAAAAGTGACATTTATTAATATTAAAAAGAGTACTCGAATTTCCTTCATTTTTGTCATTGAAATGGGCATGAATTATCTGCGTACCATTTTCCGATTCTGTATAAGGAGCGGGTAGCATTCCGTCAAATTCTGATTTTATGAAACGCACATTCCAATTTGTATTTGGCAAGAAAAAAGATCCAGGAAAACGATACCAATCTTTACCTAAACATACATTCACTTGGGACTCATTGGGAAATTTTCCCTCCAATGGAAATCTGTTTAATTCCATTGTTAAGTCTAAAGGTGCATGGTAATTTTTATACAGGGAAAATATACGAGATATACCTGTAAATAAGTTTTAAAAACATTTTAATTAATAATTAACTTTATATTAAGTAAAGGAGTAAGCTCCAAAAAGAAAAAGAAATTACAGTACTAGGAATGATTTGGGGAAAAACATAAAGAATTAAGGAATATTGGAAGAGCAAAACGTTTCTCTTCTTCACATTAGTATAGTGTAACGATATGCGGAGCTGAAGTACAGGGTAAATACACAATCATGGATTATATGAAAGGGAAAAATATATATAATTTCTAAAATCCTCACCGATTAAACTGCAAATAGTGACTGCAGCAAACATTACAAATGCAGTTGAATCTAGATAATGTGAACTAGGAGAAATTTTTATAAAGCCAATGCGTTTTGTACTCAAGAGGCATAACAGTCTAAATATAAGCTTCTGTACAACATCTACAGATATGGCACCCGCTAAACATATCATGGGATAAATTGGAAATAAAAACCTTTAAATAGTATAGATTAGTAATAACGACTTTTTTTAAATAATATTTACCTTTCCTCCTTATGAGACTGAAATAAGAAAACAACCAACCATAAAAACATTGGTGCTAAAGAAAGTGTATGAGGTAACATTAAAGTAGCCCTATTTCTTGCAGGTACCAAGATATGAGATAGAGCAAGGACTACAGGTGAAAGTAGAGCTAAAACCTGCAAAAGGTATTCACTAAGAAGAAAAAATCTTACTTCATAAAAAATTCATACCCAAACAAAATTAAAATTAAGAAAGCCATTCACTATATAAAAAGAAAATGGTTCTTTGCCATACAATTCAGGACCTGCACCCCCTAGAACATTATATTTAACAATATTCCAAGGAGCAATGGTTAGTTTTCCAAAATATTTAGAATCTATGGCCACCATGGGTCCTAAAACTGTCACTGCAGATATAACAGACCACTGAATGAAATCTTTATACATTTTCTGACAATACAACATATCAAATGCTATGGGAACACCTAAAAGAGCAGCAAAAGGCCAACCTGAAAATAAAAATGTAGGAAACTTAGTGTTTTAAAGAGTTTGAGTAACTCACCTAAAAGTGACCCCAATGCAGTGAAGAAAATTGCCAATGGATATTTTTGTTGCCACCATGCTGCACATGCAGCAGCAAATGTATACATGGCATACGATGAGGGTAAATATGCTGTGCTTGATATAAACATTCCAGCTGAAAATAACTGAAAAGCTAAGCACAACCTACCAACATGTACACCAAACTCTCTGCAAACTGCCCTAAAAAGCAATCAAACAGATTTTACTTATGGATAAAGATTAACCTATGTGTATTATAACTTACTTATAAAAATACACTTCTGCAAAAGAGCATGCTAACCCCAGTAAACATCTGATAAAGTAAAAAATGAGTAGTGGATTTGGTTGTAGTATTTTGTGATAAATATATGCTGGGATTGCATGTACTAATAAATATGTATAAGACCTTAATGCAAATTGAGGACTGTACTCCCAGGTTTGTAGCCCCTTACCAAAAACTTTATAGACTTAGAGATAAATTCGAAAATGCACCAAGGTACTAACCTAGATAATGAGTAGGCTCCCAATAGTTAAAAGTTTCATCGCAATCGGTTATGTGAGACCAAATAGCTGCACAAAAACGAGCAGACAATATTGCCTTAAATGCTGTATCACCTCCAGGATAAACTAAATTGTTTGCCTCCTTTTCAGTTTTTCTAAAAACAAACATACGTTTACATAAATATAATTTAAAATAAGGAATTTGTAGGTTACTTAGATTGCACTTTAGCAACTTTCTTGTTATTGTTCTTCGGTTCCTTTCTCGTACTACTTTGACTAGCATTTTGGCGAAGTTTAAATGATTTTCCTGATTTATTTACCATATTTTGGCCAGTTAAACTAGCATTAATTATAAAATAACAAAAAAGGAACACGTACACATGAAGCCATTATCGAATTTACTGATAAAGAAAATTTGAAATTATTCGACGTATAGACCATGCGAATATGTCTACTATGGTGTAGCGGCACAGTAGTGGTATATCTTGAATAAACTCGATGTAATATTCAAAAGAATTTTATCAACAATCTATGAACCAGTCATAACCTCTTTCTCTT